TATATATATATATATATATATATATATATATATATATATATATATATATATATATATATATATATATATATATATATATATATATACACACATACACTAAACTGCGCGGCTGTGCAGAGGAGAAAAGCCAAGATGGAAAGACAGATATATGCGTCCAGTAAGATGTTTCTTGTCTAATCGTGTAATAGGTGGGTTTCCAGAACTTGACAAACCAACAAATTTTCCCCCCACATTTTCCCCTGACAACCATCCCTCACCTCACTGCTTCCTCTCCCTTCCTCTATGTCAACCATTATATAAAGGTAGACTTCTCAGGAGCAACATCGGGTCGTTCCTCCCTGATGAAGCGGACTGAAATGTTCGCGAAACGTCGAAATCAGACAAAGAAGAATCCACGCAGCTCAAACCTGGAAACCAAATCTAATACTAGATATATTATGTCTATGGCTGGTATAAATATGTACGGATTTAAACATTGCGATGTCAATGCAGAACGGATGGTTATATATAACCAACGCTGGGTACGCAACGTTGGGTACGCAACGCTGGTTGAAAGTGCGTCTCGGTGCAGAAGAAGGACAACACAAGTCTGCCAATATGTCTTTTTCTAGTCAGGACAAATCATATTCATAGGAAGAGACAGAGATAATCCGTAACCATTTGCTATCTCACTTATTTTCTGGACCTTGTTTCACGTACGAACAAAGTAAGGGCTTTTGCACGTAGAAAAATTTTAACCGTAACCGTAAGGTCGTAAAAAAACTAATCAATTAGTCGATTATTCTTCGAACGCAAGGAGAATAATTAACTCTGGTTGGTCAGTTTTCTTATGACCTTACGGTTACGGTTAAAATTTTTCTACATTTAAAGGCACTAAGGAATAGCGCAGTCCATACTATAGGTCGATAGTTTATACAAGCTAGCTGGTCACGTAACCACGTTGGCGGTTTTCTCTCCTAGACTGCGTTTAGATTCCCCACCCAGGTGCACCCTGACACCTAGAAAGCATTTCTCTCAGATTCTTCTGAGAGAACAAACCATCTCCAAGATACAGTGCCATCCCTGATGGAAAAAATTTGCTGAAAATACAAGGAAATCATCAAAAAGAGAAATAAAAGTTATTGAAAAATTGTTGAAAATATTTCATGATGAATCATAACTTTCTTTAAGAATTGTTATGAAAAGTGTGACGAAATAATGAATTTTAAATGAATATTGGTGAAAAGTAATGAAAACATTTTGAAATATTTAATATTATGAAATCTACCAAATTTTAATGAAAACTGAGTCAATTGTATTTAAATGTTGATAAAAAAATTCATGAAAACATATCTTAATAATTTTTAAAATTTTGCTGAATTACGCTGAACCTTAATGAAACAATAATAATTCATAATGAATTGTAAATAAGTACTTTATGTTTCTCATTTATTGATCAATGAAAAATTTCATGAAAATGTTTTGAATAAATAACGAAATCGTGCTGAATTTCGTTGATAATTGATGATGCTAACTAAAATTCAATTTTTTAATTTTTCTATATATTAGGATGTGAAAACTTTCTCTCATTGAAATGTCGATGAGAATTACAAAAATATATCGAACTTTATTGAATTATATGTAAATCTGATTTTTTCACTATGTTTCAACATAAATTCATGCGATTATTAATTTGTATCTAATACCGAACAAATCTACCTTTAAAAAAAAAGGTTTAAAAAAAGACGCCAAGTTCACACGCTTGTCTGCACGAGTGGAATTATACAAAAGTTAATGTTTTTATAAAAAATATTGTATTTGTAAAATAATGCATTTAAAAATGTTAATAAGAAATGTTGTTTAAACTTCTATTTTTTTTTACAAAAAACGTGATATCAGGTAATTAGTGAAAATAACTTAAAAAAGAAATAAAGTAAAAAATATCTAAGTGCACGCGCCTTAGCATTAATTGTCTAAAAAAATTGTTATAAATAAATTACAACAAAAGCTCACCTAAAACATATTTACAAAAATATTAAAACAACCTTATTCAGATCAGTTGTACTCTCGCGAATACTCTATTGAAAAATACAAGACAATTTTATACTCTACAAAAGTAATGATATCAAGAGGTTTAATCAACCAAGTGCAAATGATTAATCATTTTAGTTTTTATTTTTATAAACATGTGGTTTTGGCTATATATTTATAAATTAAATATATTATTAATATATTATTAAATAAAAAATAAAATAATTAGAGAAATACAATAATATTGAAAAAAAAAATCGAGCTACACGGTAGTGTCGCGAAGCCAAGTGCAAGCGCGAAGCAATGCGGCCTACCATGTTTAGAGACCTTAGAATACAGAGTCTGGACACTTGAGCCAAAGCCCCTCAAAATGGCGTACATATATCGTGAGAATAAGCTATAATAACAGAACAAATGTTATATACAATTGACAGTTTTTATTATTATAGAAGACATACAGAAAAAGTAAGTAATA